TGGTTGTTTTGAGACGATAGTGCCAGGAAATGTTATGAACAGAACGTATCCAGCACACACGCAGATTGGAGTTTTTCGGGAAAAGAGGGACGCAATCTGGCTCAGTATGATGATTTGGTGTAGCCTCTGTGAAAGTAATACAGAGGTGATATGTGTGACCCTGTGTGTGTGTGTGTGTGTATGTGAGAGAGAGAGAGAGAGAGAGAGAGAGAGAGAGAGAGAGAGAGAGAGAGTAGAAAAGGGGAGTGGTGGTGGGAGAAGGAAAAGCGGCTTTGGTTTTATGCTGACCTGCTTTGAAACCAAGAAACGATTTCGCTGGAGGTGGATTTGTTGTTACCTACCTAATGCCTAGAGGGAGCCGCAGTGGTGCAGGGGCGAGACGCTCGTCTGCGGATAAGAAGGTCATAGGTTTAAGCCCTGGCGTAGCTGGAGCTTTTTGCAAAAATGACCTTGGTTCACAGATCGACCGACCTTAAACTGGGCACCAGGTAAAGTTTTGCGAAGTAAAGGCGGACGGCGGATGACCACATCACCCACCAAGTGCCGATTGGTCTAAAGCCCTATATGAACAGTACACCGGAAGGCGTAGAAATGGGTCCTTTACCTAAATCCCTAGATTTGTTGTTCTGGTTTGGAGCACGAACAATCAAGGCTGAAGAGAATTTGACACTACAACTGTTGTGAGTGTGTGTATGTGTATATACACACACACACATATATATATATATACGATATATATATATATATATATAGAGATATATATATATATATATATATATATAAACACACATGTACTGTATCTATATATATATATATATATAAAACACACACACTGTATATATATATATATATATATATATATATATATATATGTACATGTGTGTTATAGTACGCGTGTGTGTGTATACACATACTTAGCACTGCATCCTTTTATCGTAAAAGGTGACATTCGTTTTCAGGCAACAAATGTTGTTTGTGCTTTGTGGAGTTAGTCGCCATGCACGTCCATAGCTCCCTCCTCCAATTTTGCTCACATACACAGACATCAGAAACACAAGAAGGAGAAGAAGAAATGAATATGAAGAGGATAACTGCCCCAGTTGGAAGTCCAATGCAGAAGAATCATCTCAATGTGGCAATCTCCCTTCACGCCCCACTTCCTATGATATCTCCCTTCACGCCCCACTTCCTATGATATATTTATATTTGAACAAGACAAACAAAACTCAGAACACACAAATCAAAGTGCTGTTACCAGAAAAGGAAACAAACATGCCAGGGGAGTGAAGAATGTTGGCAAAGCCCCTGTGAGAATCAATAATAGAAAAGAAAACAGGAGGTTTGTGGTGAAAGGGAGAGGGGGGGGGGGGGAGGGGACAACATTTTCTGACTTGTGCAATCTGGTTTTTCTTTTGCGTCGGCCCTGTAAAAAGTGGCTGGCAGGTTGAGTTGTAGTTTACAGCTCGGCGGGGAAATCTGCACCCTTCAGTCTGAAGCAACTGCTGTTTTAGACTGAGCGGTGCAAACCCTTAATTAGTAACTTCTTGCAATGGTCCCCAGGGATATCTGTTTGGTCTTTCGACCAACTCACATCATCTCTCACAGATGAGTACATATGTGGAGCTGGAGTTCCTTACACTGACACCCGGATTTAACAGTTTATAAAGGAGGGTACCTGGAATAGGATCACATCTTTTTCTTCTTTTCAGCAGGTTTTGATAAAGAGTCAAAACTTTTGCTAAATGATGCTGACAATTCAAATACTTGGAATGTTGCAAACAGCACAGTGTGTTCTAAAGACGGGTTGAGGATGAACATTTTGTAGCTTCGTTAGGCTCACATTTGCTGCCAGAACCATGGTGAGACATTCTAGCAAAGGCATCATCCAAGCTAGGACACAGTATCGCGTTAATGTCCGATTCTGTGAAGAACTCCATGCGGCTGCTGGCCGTGCCAGATTTGATAGTTTCAGTCGCTGGTGAAGACACTAGAATAGCTTCCCCTCGGTGCGGATTAGAGTCTGCCACAGGTGGCAAAGATAATCTATTGCTGCTTGTAATCTGCTGCAGATTCTGTGGCCTAGTCGGCGGACTTTCCGGATCAGTTTTGGCGATTTCAGCCGATCTTGTTAGCTGTTCAGTGATAAGCCCAACATTGGATTTTCCGTTGGGTGTTCTGGTATCATCATGAGACTTGTGGATGTATCCATTTGCAATGTCATCCATTTCTTCGGAGGATGTTAGCTTTTCAGGATCCTGTGGCTCAATGGTGTAATGGCTCGGCTCAGTGGCTGCATTTTTCTTCTTCTTGCTTCACTCGGAAAGAAAAGAAATGAAAATGGAGGATACAAATCTTTTTTTCAAAGATAAATGAAATTACATTAAACATTTATAACAAACAGGATTGCATCGAAAATGAAAATCTATTTCAAAGATGGATAATGCATAAACTGAATTTCAATGATGATAAATATAAAGGATTGGCAGGATAAGAAATATCTAGGAATGAATCATTATCATCATGCAGCAGGTCCTTTGCAGAATATTGCTCTCATCGTGGTCTGCCTGAAAGAAACCCAGTCTCTTACCAACTCTCCTGCCTAACGCACTTTCATATCCAAGGAGTCACTTAAATCCTGTGCCCATCTTCATGCCAGTAGAGCCCTGCCCCTCCTTCCTGGTACCATGCCTCCTGCTATTATTTGCTTCTTATCCGCTGTGGCGCTGAGATGGCCAAAATATTTCAGCTTCCGAGACAAGATGGTGTTTATTAGTCAATCTTCCTTGATGTTCAGATCTTTTATAATGTCAGTATTTCTTTTCTTCTTTGTCCATGATAATCTAATAATCTTTCTAGAGCATTTCAGCCTAAAATTCCCATTTTCTTTCCTAAAGATTAGAAGATAGTTCACTAAAGACTAGAAGATAGTTAATGACTCACATCTATATGTTGCTAGATGGAAGATGCATGATCTTAAAATTTTAACTTTGACTTCTTGCTCATGCTTAACCACAGACTTTTAATGCTATGTAATTTGTATATACTTCTATGGCTATCCTCCTTTTGACTCCCGTTAAAAATATTGCTAGAAATGGAAAATGATAATAAATACTGATCTCAATAAAGATTACATGGATTCTTCTTCTTCTTCATGATCACTGGCTGTAAACTCTGGCAGACAGTTCTGATTGTTCCCCCACTTCTGGACTTTAGTCTTGTTCAAGGACTTGGGCCCCTTGTATCTCAGGCAGATGCACTCTGACTTTGAAGGAAAACCCCTAACTACTTGACTCTTACAGCAAGCTTGTCAAAGGGGCAGTGGGTCTTCTCTTGTTGTTCCTGACAACGGTGGCCAGGACCACACAGGGAGATTACATGGATAAATATTTACTGCTGCATGGGCGATTTATATCAAGGATTGTATTCTGCAGTCTTACAGATCCAAGCAATGTCTGTTGTAGAATCAACCATTCCCAAGGAATTCCAATGACAACGGTGGCCAGGACCACACAGGGAGATTACATGGATAAATATTTACTGCTGCATGGGCGATTTATATCAAGGATTGTATTCTGCAGTCTTACAGATCCAAGCAATGTCTGCTGTAGAATCAACCATTCCCAAGGAATTCAAATGACAACGGTGCCCAGGACCACACAGGGAGATTACATGGATAAATATTTACTGCTGCATGGGCGATTTATATCAAGGATTGTATTCTGCAGTCTTACAGATCCAAGCAATGTCTGCTGTAGAATCAACCATTCCCAAGGAATTCCAATGACAACGGTGCCCAGGACCACACAGGGAGATTACATGGATAAAAATTTACTGCTGCATGGGTGATTTAAATCATGGATTGTATTCTGCAGTCTTACAGATCCGAGCAATGTCTGCTGTAGAATCAACCATTCCCAAGGAATTCCAACCATCACATACTGTCTTTTCTGACTTTCTACATTTGGTCTCAGCATACTTAAGAAATCTGGATTCTCCACTGTGCATTCAGCCTCACAAAAATTTATCCACTAAATGTTTTTTTTTTTTTTTCAAACCAATCATTTGTCAATTTAAGCATTTGCTGTAAACAAAAATGGAACTGAAGCTCTAATGATGTTAAACCAGCCACACAATATAGAAGACAAGCTGAAAAAAATTGTCATGCCAAGGAAATGTGTCCAATTTTTTCTGATTTTTTATTTTTAAAGAAGAATGCAAAGAATACCACGGAAAGAAAGAAAAACAAACAAATCAGTCCTGCTCAAAAGTAAAGTACCCTTTTCCACGCCTTCAGCTGTATTAGGTAATTAGGTCTAGACCTATATTTTACAGACCAAACGGCACTAGGTGGCTGATGTGGTCAGCATAACTCCAGCCACATTTACTTCCCAGGATTTACCGGATACCCACTCAAAGCTAGGTCGACAGGGAAGCCAAAGCCATTTTTTTTAAAAAAAGTCCAGCTCCCGTTAGGACCAGAACCCAAAACCTTCCGATCAGCAGGAGAGCATCTAGCCACTTGTGTCCTCCTCCAGACAGAGAAAAACCATAAGCTGATTAGATAAATTTAGGCACAAACATGGTGAACGTTTTTTACCATGTTCTGAGAAGGAACAAACCCAAGAATTTGGTTTCAACTGACAAGATTGGTGGAAAAAGAGCACGCGAAAGGCAAAGAGATAAATACCTGGATGGTGTGGCCACAGAGATGAGGCGAGACAAAAACACTGATACAATCTGTGATTCCCATAAGATGGCAAAACAAGACAGCCTACCCCAGGGCCATTTAATTAAGTTTACTTAGGGGACAAAATGTTGGAAAATGGGAATCGTCGGGGACAGATAATTAATACAATCGGCAGGTGATCGGCAGGACTTGCGCAAAGCCACCGCGGGCAAGATATGTCCAATGGGCCGTCAGCTGAACGCCCAGGCTTATGCTTAAAGACAAGACAGATGATGACGATTAAATACACTGATTTCCATCACTGAGCTTTTACCTTGAGCCTTCCACCAGTTTGAGGAAGGACTGACGAACTTTGTTCCGAGAGAACCGACCAGGACGCTTAGACTTCTTGTTGTCGCCAGATGCAGCAGTTATATCTAGGTCAGTGTCCGGGTCGGACGTGGTGGTCAGACTCTGGGCAGAGCTTTCCGCAGAACTGGACTTCTTGTTTCGATCCTTTGAGCGCTTCCGCCGAAAGTGTGGGGAGACACGCTTGAGAAAGCTGGTGATGCTCAGGCTTACTGAGCGTTTCGATGGGGTCAGTCGTCCACTTTCCACAGGACTGCCCCGACCTAACAAAGGAAAAGCGCAACAAACATTTTTTAAATCATTAAAGTGGTATGAAAACTGTTAATGGTGATTCCAATGCTAGTGGACTGGCAAGACAGCATGCTGATGTATGAGAACACGAAGGACTTCACGTATACTAGTACAGCAAATTTTTTATTCTAATGTCAAATCAGTACTTTTGTATGGGGCAGAAACATAGAGAACAACTAAGGCAATTTCTAATAAACTACAGACATTCATTAACTGGTGCTTGTGCAGAATAGAGGGAATTAAAAGGTATGATAGAATAACTAATGTAGAGCTTTGGGAGAAAACTAAGCAAGCTCCAGTGGACCCAGAAGTGAGGAAAAGACGCTGGCATTGGATAGAACAAACACTGAGAAAACCGGAGAACCGCATAACTAGAATGTCTTTTCATTAGAACCCACAGGGGCAAAGGAATAAAGGAAGGCCACACCAAAAAAAACGGAGAAGGGAGCTGGAGAATGAAGTTAGGAAGATGGGTAAGACATGAGGAGAGCTGCATGCGATAGCAAAGTATAGAACGACTTGGCATGAGTTGGTTGAGGGCCTATACTCCATTGGGGTTAAGAAAGGCAGAAGTATAGCAAAAGACCGTTCTACGCTTTTAGGCATACTGAGCATATAGTGATGGACCTATATGTTGTAGACCCATCCGCACTATGTAGGTCATATGGTAAACATCACGCAGGCCAACCAGGCACCCTTTTAAAGTTGGATAGACCTGGGAGCCAAGGTAATTTTTGCAAATAGTCTAGCACATTTTGGGGATTTGAACCCATGATCTAAGGATCTGCAAGCCAGGGTAGCGTCTAGCCAGTACACTATGTTAGCACTTCACATATACATTTGAAATCCAAACAGGAGTTTGAAAGAGTTGTCATTCTAATTATTCCTTCTGGCTTATGGCCTGGATTATAAAAACAATAACTACCCCCAAGAAACAGAATCCAATGGACTCCGAAACAGCTTGTAGAGGGTCTGGATTTCACAGACTGAGGACACCCTCCTATACTCCACCAAATCATATGTACAATAAATTAACCATATATGATGATGCTCACAACGATCAAGTGGGGGAACACACGAGAGAATAAGAGAAGTGAATAAGAGAAGTGAATAAGAGAATAAGAGAAGTGAATAAGAGAAGTGAATAAGAGAAGTGAATAAGAAGAAGATATATCAGAGAAAGGAACATTTGAGTTTACCTGGACTAGTATCTCCTTGTGATGTGTCACCAGGGGACGAGCTAGTCACATCGTCTTTTAACTGAGGCGGGTAGCTCTCCTCCTTTGGAGATTCTAGACCTAGATGACACCCAAAAAAAATAAGAAACATACAAATTTCTCTAGATCTTTAAGCTCACAAGTTCTCAGATTTTTCTTCTTCGGCATTCACTTTGTAGTTTACAGCTAGGTTGTGATATCTGCACCTTTTAGTCCAACACATCAGATTTCAGCGAATCCTGAGTTATTTGCCTTTTATCACATGCTTGTTAAGCAGCATGGGTCTACTAGCGGCCATTTGAATATCCCTGATATATGTCCCCAAAATGGAGTCCGAGAACCCATAGGGGTGTTCTGGGATGAAGTGCTAGGTCATAAATTCTGAAATGAAGGTAATGTCATAGGTTCTGAGGTGAAGTGCTAGGTCATAAATTCTGAAATGAAGGTAATGTCATAGGTTCTGAGATGAAGAAAAATAACAGTCCTGTTCACGTTTCCAGGCCCATCTACACACTACCTGACCTTTCATTCATACTTTCTCAGACTCTTCTATGTCAGAGGGGTGTCACATTGTCTTCCCTCTAATTACATCAGCACAAAATGTTGCCTGTTCTATACTACATGACGACACAGCTTTCAATGACCCCAGAACATGTAGAACTGGTGCTAACTCAACTCCCCTACCCACAGACTCAACCTAGGTCATGCAAGAGAGACTTTTTAAAGAAAACAGTACGGCATGACACCCCTCTGACCAAGATAAGAATTAGTAAGGAAACAGTAATGGACAAAAATATTTCTTGAGAAAAACACACAAACCACTCTGAAATGAATATAGTCAAATGTTATGAATACCCTACTTTATGGTGCAGAAATCTGGACAATAAACAAGAACACAGAAATTATAAATAACGTCAAGGAGATTTACAAGCATTTAGAAAGTTGATTTAAGGCCTTGGAAATACAAAAAATATAGAAGAACAGGTTGTATTTCCTGCACACACACTTCAATCAAATATGAAGTTTCAAGAGTCAGAAAAGAAAAGAAAGATTATTGACAGAAATAAAGGAGACCTGAAAACTGCCCATATTTAATGCAACCGCACTGTTAGAAAAACCATAAAGTCAAAAAATGTGATCAATTTTATGTGAACGATGTCTCAGGCATATGATGTTAACTCATACTTCTTAAGACCAATCAGCACTCAGTGAATGATGGGGTCAACATCACGCTAGCCACCTTCAGAAAAGCCATACTTGATGACAAATTGCAAACAGGCCACAAAAAAGGTTGACATCACTAATCTTGTTCGATCATGTTCAGTACACTGCACTACATATCCTTTTGTCTGGTTCAAAACAGTTCAGCTAATCAATATTTAATAAAGTCAGCACTTATATGAAAAATCTATACACAAAGCAGAATCAGCCTCAGGCTAAAAATCATTTAAATTCAGACACTAGTTTTTATTCAAAGTTTAAATTTAGAGAAGAGCAGATGGATGGAGAGGCTCAAGTTCTAACCTTCACAATACGTGAATTTTATTTATCAATAAGTAAGTGAACGAACACCCTCTTCTAGGGTACACAGTGCCAGTTGTGTATTTTCATACAAAACGGCGCTCAAGCTTTGGGATGCAAAGGGTAAACTCAGTTATAGGCCCTGGCAAACTAATGTTTGTTTGAGTTTCAACTGTTGGCAGCCAACACCAGATTGAACATAATTATTTTTTTTTAAAGAATGATATGTCTATAGACACCACTTGGCACAACAAAAGACAGACAACCTGCTAGAGGTGACCCTGTTAACCAGGTCAATGTAGACCTGGGATAAAACAAAGGATCTAGAGGCGATAACCTCCGCGAAAAAACCTCAGGCTAAACTGCTGCGATCAAACTTTATTAATAAAGGGTTAAGAAATGGGCATGCAGGCCCTTCAAACATTCTGCCCTTCCACTCCATTCATTGCATACAGTTATTCATCTGTACCTTACTTCAAACATTCTGCCCTTTCACTCCACTCATTGCATACAGTTATTCATCCGTACCTTACTTCAAACATTCTGCCCCTCCACCCCACTCATTGCATACAGTTATTCATCCGTACCTTACTTCAAACATTCTGCCCTTCCACTCCACTCATTGCATACAGTTACTCATCCGTACCTTACTTCAAACATTCTGCCCTTCCACTCCACTCATTGCATACAGTTATTCATCCGTACCTTACTTCAAACATTCTGGCCTTCCACCCCACTCATTGCATACAGTTATTCATCCGTACCTTACTTCAAACATTCTGCCCTTCCACTCCACTCATTGCATACAGTTATTCATCCGTACCTTACTTCAAACATTCTGCCCTTCCACTCCACTCATTGCATACAGTTATTCATCCGTACCTTACTTCAAACATTCTCCCCTTCCACCCCACTCATTGCATACAGTTATTCATCCGTACCTTACTTCAAACATTCTGCCCTTCCACTCCACTCAGGTCGATCCAGCCTTGAGTGGGTACCGGGTGCAGTCCCGGGAAAGTTAAGGCGGCCGGTGTGGTGCTGACCACATCACCCATCTTGCGCCGATTGGTCTATACAACTATAGGTCTAGCCCTATATGCCCTTTACGCCTGATGGCGTGGAAAAAGGTCCTTTACGTTTTTATCTTTTTTTTTACTTAAACATCAGAGAAACTGTTGAGTTGAGTTGAGTCAAGAATTGACATCACAGCTCTCAATGCATTCCCATGCATGCCCCATCCTCATTTTCAGCAGCCAGCGCAAAGTTCCAATACTGATGGTACTGGTCACAATCTGGTTAAAAGTCTGTCTTGCCTTTCCTCTGAGTGTAGTAAGCCAGCCAGATCCTCAGGTTACACCCAGGTATCTCATTCTCTCCAAGCCATAATAATCTTCTTTCTGTAATGATTCCGTTGCTTGTTCCCAAAGGGCCTTGACCATATCTACAACAGAACAAAGTGTCTATGGTCGAGGTGACCAGAAGAGCAGGAAGCAGAACCTTATATAGGTGTTTCTCACTCGACACCTAATGTGGTAAAAGAGGACGTAAAGAAGAAAAAGAAAGATGTAAGGAGGAATCAGTAACTGTCATGTTCACATGTTTGGTACAGAATGAGTTAAGAGCACCTTTACATATAACGGATGTTCATGCAGAAGTCCTACATTACTCACCATTAGTTTGTGGTGGACCATCAGGTGTCTCTTCGCTCCATGACTGACTTGATCTTGAACTCTGCACACTGTGGCCAAGATTTAAATCTGAAACACACAATACAGCCTAAGGTGATCTCGGTGTGGTGAATTTCTGTTGCGAAGAACAATTTGTTTATGCTGGGCAATTTTTTGCTTGAATTCTTAGCTGCATAAGAGGAATTTCTGATAAGAAAACCATTACTTGGGTCTACAGTGAGTTCTCCTTATCAGGTCTGCACTGTACCAGTGTACAAAATGAAAACCCCTTTAAAGTTGAAAATTTTAAATAACAGGTTTATCTATTAGTAGAACGGATGTACACACAAAACTCAGGCCCTAGCTCAAAGCCAAAATAGACGAACAACCAGGACTTTGTGTCTGAGCTTTCAGCCGATGAACAGAGAAGAAGAAAAGCAGAGTCAAGAATCAACATCATAACACTCAGAACATTCCCATAAGTACTCCGTCCTCATCTTCAGCTGCCAGTGAAGACTTCAAGTTCTGACGGTGACAGTCAGCAGTCTGATTTTGTGGCGATCTTGCATTTCCTCTTAGTGCAGCGTGGATCAATCCCCCCCCCCCCCAACAACCCCAACCGTACCATTATCTCCAGACAATACTGATCTTTTCATGCTTCTGCATTGTTCAGTTGCTCTCAAAGGCCCCGAACCAATCTAGTCTGACATGCATCAGTTCACCACCCAATGGTGCAGAACCAATCAATCTGTCTGCCCATTATTTCCCAACATTCTATTGGCGTGCATTTCAGGGCCCCCACCAGGAAAGGGGTGGAATAGACCTGCTAACGCCCTAACAAGCATAATGTAAAAGGTGACTTATGAGTTTTTTTTACTATATTCAGAGGGCATCTGCCTGAGAGCCAAAGAACCAACAGTCTGCATGCAAGCAAGCCAGATATGTAATATGCAGGTAAAGGAACAAAGTGTAATTCAAAAAGTGGACAAACTATCAGAACTTTCTGCTGGAGTTTACAGCAGGTGAAAGTATGCTGTTATAGTTCTTTAACAACTCTTGCCAGGCATTTCCACCTTAAACAAATCCTGGAAAACATGCACCGCTGCACCAGGCACCGCCCAGTCCCTGAAAAGCCTAGTTAACAGCACTGGTTCTGTTTGTGCCTATGCAGTGTTTCAGAGGTCTCCACATGATTAAATTATATTTATTAAAAACAAAATTTGGTCTCATAGAAACAAAAGTGTTGTTTTTTTTAACGATCTTATTTCTCTCTTAGCCTTTAGATATTGGGGTAACAAAATCACAGCATGAGTCACAATATAAATTATTTCAAGCCCAAAAGAATGTCATCATTTAACCCTCTGTTTTATATGTGTTTATTGATTCCTCTTCATATATTTCTGAACAATATTTTAAAATTGACAAAGATAAATTTATCAGTGACTTTTGTTTTCTTTGTAAAAGAAATTCTTGTGGGGCGGTGGATTGGTTCTTAGGTTCAATGTTTTTTTTTCTCCAATAGGTTTCTTGGGTGAGAAGGTTAATATGTATTAAGTGCACAATATCCACTACATACAATCCTATGTTTAACTCATTCAGTAGCAGAAACTGCAGAAATTTAACCCCAAATTCATGAAGTGTGGTTCTGGTAGTGGCTTATGTAAACAATGAGAAGTAGACAACAAATGTAAACTTACCTTCACTGAAAGAATCGTAGTCTGAACGTACACTGGTGTTATGTTGGTCTCTGTAATTGTCATAAGCTCCCTGGGAGGTTTTGAGAATCCCCTGTGGTGATGGTGCTGATGATGAAGTTGGCGATGATGACTGCTTGAAATATGGGTCAGTTGAAGCGGGCACTTGTCTCGTCTGGTTATGAGCATAGTGACTATCTTTCGGACTCCAGTTCATCTTCGTAATCTGATCGGAGAGATCCTTTAGTTCTGCCGAATAATCCAGTCCAGAATCTCGGCTGATGAATGATTGGTCAGTGGCAGATGAGTAGCTCATGTTGGTGATGTCTCGGACATGGTGGTGGACTTCAGGTTGTGGTGGGGTTTCTTTGCGAGAGTCTAGCACAGGGGACAACTGGCTGAACTCATTGTATCTTGGAGAAATAAGGCAGCGGCTGAACGGAGAGACTTTCGGCTGTGGGGATAAATCTTCGTCATCATATTCATAACTGGATAACTCTGTGAAGACACTATCCTCGGTGTCCGAGTGTCGAACTGTCACCCTTGTGTTGTATGTCACCCGTTTCGGGCTCTTCGACTGCCCTCGCGTCCGGTGCTTACTGCCTCCAACTTTCAATGTAGGCGGCATGCTGCAGTAGCTGAGGTCACTTCTGAGGCTAGAGGTGGGGCTGAGTGACCGACTGCGGTCAACCTTGCCCCACGTCACTGAATGTTTCGCTGAGAAGCTTGTTCTGTAAGGCTGTGAGATCCGGTAGATTAACTCCTCTTGATTCTCTTCATCATTAACACTGCCAATCTGGCAATCAGCTCCGGGAGTTCGGTGATGCCTGGAGGATGGTCCCGGACTTCTTTGTCTGGTAATGCGGTCAGCAATGACTCGATCACGACTTGTACTCCTGACGCGGCGATCAAGTACTGACACTGGACCCTCTGTATCCATTATTGTATCGTCTTTGTAAACAATTGATTCCTCTGAGAATTAAGTATTTCTCAATAGCTATGAATTATCTTGTAAGTGCTTTCCTAAAGGTGAAAAAATAAAAATGTTTATAAGCATAAAGTCAAGAAAATAATCACTTTAATTAGTTGAAGCATTTTCATATTAATTTAAAAGACTTCCCAAGAGTGTCAACAAAATATTCTTTCTCTACATTCCCCTTGAAAGGATGGTCACCATACAGTGTTGTAATTTACAGCTAGGCTGTGATATCCATGCCTTCGCTCAAAACATTCAATTTCTGCAAACACTAAAGTAGTTGCCTTTTACGACATGCTTGTTAGGGGACATTGGGTCTATTATTTTACTCACCCAAAATGGGGGCAAGGAACTCACAAGGACAATAAAATCTTAAAACAGAGGGAGAAAACATTACCCAGGGGGTTCCTGTGTTCAAAGTATGGCAACAAATTCATTATAACTCGAAGCAATCTTGTGTTATTTTCTTAATTATACTGATAGATCAATCGTCTTAATTAGTGATTAGTGATGATAATCGCAAATCAAGGATATTCCATGCAGTTTCTTTATCAACTGAGATGAAAAAGAAGATTCAACAGAGCTATACAAATCCTATCCCGATATACGGAAGTGAATCATGGACAGTTAGAACATGAAGGCAATTTGTTTGGAAGCGGCAGAGATGTGATTAAATAGAAGAATGATGAAAATAACCTGGATAATTTAAAAATAGGTAATGGAAATGTCTTGAAACAAACTGACTCATCAAGAGAACTGATTTCCCACAACAGAGGGAGACAATTTACATATACTCCTGGTCATGTAATGAGAAGGAGAAAATGAGTAAATCGTGAGAATATGAAAATGGGGGCGGGGGGGAGGGGGGAGGTGGAGACTGAGAGAGAAGATGCTGGAGAGTTTGACATCAGGGCATGGAAGATCATCTATGTCAGAACCAACTGAAAGCTCACGAGACAGAAGGCTGTGGATAGACATGACTACCAACGTCACACAGTATGGACTGCAAGAAGAAGATTATCATCATCAAGGCACTCAGGACAGATCCACAAATGCTCTGAACTCCTCCCCAACAGCCCCACAAGCTTAAAACGACCAATGACGCCTGTTCTGTGTTGATTCATCAAACATCCTGCGAACTCTGTGAAATGTCCATTTCTTGCAGCTCCAGTTTTTTTTTTTTCAGAATCATTAAAGCAAAACAGTGAAAATGTTTAGCCAGCTGATATGAACAGAGAAGCAGACAGCTATACAGAAATGCACCTTCGTGGATGACGGACAGACGAATGCACAGATGGGTGGACAGACAAACAGACAGACCTAACAAAGTCTAAAAGCACCCACATTATGAATCAACTTGCGATTAAACAGGAGGCCCTTGTGGATTCAGAGGCCCCATAGTGAGAACAGTTCTACTGACCCCTAACAAGCATATCATAAAATGCAACTACTCTGAGGTCTGTGTTAATCAGCTTTGTTGGACTGAAAAGCGCACATATCGCAGCCCAGCTTAACCACAACAAAGATCATTTTAAGAATGAATGGAGAAGATGAAGAAGAAAGGATTAACCTAACCAGTAAACAGCCAAAGCTGGTACCAGTTAACCCCATCCAACCAACAAACAAACACAACAACATACATACAACAGCAGATACTACTCCAATGTCCCCCATATTTAAAGCTCTAATACAAACACGTTCAATAACTGCTGCTACACTTTGCCTGGTAAGTAAAGCCTGGCTGAAATATTTTCACCTGCCCTCCTTTCTCCCCCTTACCCCTTTCCGATCCCTCATCCGCTTGCACTTTCAAGTGCCTGAGCACATACTAGCTACATCACATATGTACACAGCGACCTGCATTCTTCCCAGTAGGGGGAAAAAACCAGGTGCTTAGGATAAGAACTGTATCTACACCGGAATGTGTTAGCATGTTAGTAACTTACCACATCGTATAAACTGAGATACTTTGATAAGAAGCCCTATATACGCGGCACTTCTATAAGCATATAACGCACAATAACAACAAATATTCAAATAAAGAGCACAGGCTTGTAGTCGCAGGCCTTTTAATCCAGAGTGGTATGTTCAAATCTTGCTCAACAATGGCGTGAGCGCAGGGGCACGCATACACCACCTCGCGAGGCGACTCACCCAGGCGGGAGCAAGCACGTGAATAATCGATCTTGAACGCGGGAGCTACGCAAGCAGGATGCATCCGTGAACTCAGACCATTGGTTACTTTCTCGGCAGATCGTGCGTTCAGGCTTTACCGCTGGGAAATGGATGCAGGGGGCATTGCTCTACTGTTCGCCATTTACGTTAATTCAGGTAACCCAGCCGCTGGGAATATCAGTGTTTTGTTGAAGCTACATAATAGAAAGTTAACTGTCGCGCCAGACAATTGATAACGTGATGATATTACCACAGAAAATGGGAAGTGTAATGTTAGGAATGGTTAACTGCGTGAAATAATGTGGGATGAAATGTAAAAAAGTAAAAGTAAAAGACCCTTTTAGACGCCTTCAGGCATATAGGGCATACAGGGCTAGACCTATATTTTAAAGACCATTCGGCACAAGATGGGTGATGTGGCCAGCATCACGCCGACCGCCTTTACTTCCCGGTACTGCACCCCGTACCCACTCAATGCTGGGTCGACCTCTGATGAAATGTACAGATAAGAAATGCGGGGGGGGGGGGGAGACGAGAAGAGTCGCGAACGAAGAACTAAGAACAATGGTAGGCATAGTACCGGTAAAGGATTTCACAGAGCATCAACCAAACCAAACCGTTTCTTGTAAGCCAGTCGAATCTATTCAATGACTGACTCCGTGCCATCTGTACATCAATCCTCAAAAGTAAACACACAACACTTTGGTTAAATTCGCTCCAGAAAATACGGAGTGAATCTACATAGTTTAATCTAACTCTTCGTCCATCATTAGAAAAGAAAGAAAAACTAGAGACAGAAAATGGTAACGAGAGAAAAAACTAACCGGTCTCGAAGACTAAACTACCACACTGCCAGGGCTTGAGATCAGATGTAATGGAAAGACTGGATCGCACAAGCCAGTTTGCACAAAAGATCCGAAGAAAACAGTTATGCTATTTCGATAGTCGTGAACTGAGGTCATTAAATGGGGTTAAGCGTTAATTCAGGTTCCAGCACCATTGTACGCGGCTCCATTTCCGTGCCAGAGGAAATCACACAAGATGTCATTCACTGTCCCGTTTAAAAACTGTAGAAAAACTTGTCAGCCTCGGCAACATACATCTTGAAGCTTGCACACGCAAAGTAAAGAATGCAAAAGTCAGCTGTCAGGTGTGCCAACACTAACGGTCTCACAGCAGAACTGCAGCTCATTGTTCACGCAAACGGTCAATCGCGAAAGCCTGAACTGCACTGCACCCACAAAATTACACATAAGGTAATACGAGTGTTGGCATTTATTTAATGGGAATTTCTATCGCACGTCTATCTGAGAGAAAAAATGTCAAATTATAATTAACACCCGTTGCACGAAATGTATTCCAAACATGGACTGTTGAAAAAAGCGAATACATTAGGGGTTAAAGTAACAACCATCTGATACATTCGTTACTAGATAAACTACATTTACGTTAATATTTACCTTTGGATTAGGCTTACCGTTAATCCTAAATCAATCCCGCGTCTTATCGTTTTCCCTACATTAGAGGAGCAATGCGCCTTACCATTAACTTGTGAAACTGTTTATCTTCACAGAGCCGCTAGATTTAGCCGTGAAAAGACGGAAACAATATGCTCCTGTGTTCCCCATTGAGGTTTATTCACCGTTCCTAAGTTGATCAACCCGTGCCTGTCTAAAACAGCGGTTCTCAAACTAAAAGCCGCGGCCCGCGATAATTATATTTGTTTATCTGCTTGAGATCAGCGAAGACAGCAGTTTAAAACAGAAATAACGCGAAGGAAGCGGATTGCAGGTGTAATCAGAAGACAGTGCTACTGGCAAGACTTCGGTGCATTCTCAATGTACGCCTACACAGACACACACAAGGGCAACCTCCAGGTTATTTGAGGGTACAATTAACTAAACACGAAAGGAATAATGAAAAATTCATCCAAACAGTTTCATTAAAGACAACTGGAAATTAAATTTGCACAGTTACCCCCCTCCCCCAGTATTCAAACTGCTTTAAGGGTAGGTGTGCCACGAAAAATGTGTTGCCCGACAAGGGTGCCGCGGATGGAAATAAGTTTGAGAACCTCTGGTCTAGAGGATGTCTAATTTAAGCCTCGCCTTTTGCTTTCGCTTTCTTAGCTCGTCTTGAGGCTGCATATGTTTGTATTGGCAGGCACGAAAACCAGTAATGAATGTGTTCTTTGCCCGGCCGCTTTCTCGTCTGCCTGAGGGGTTTCCTTTTCACGTTCAACGGTTGTAAACTCCGGTGGTAAGGCTTGGTTGTTTGTCCACGTTTGGACTTCGGTCTTGTTCCAGGACGCTGCGTGCACATCCGTTAAAGACCTGACTTTATCTATGTGCAGACTGCTGGTTCCTTGCCCCTCGTCAGATGCACTCCTACCTAGCAGGAAACACCTAATTAGTCGACTCTTAGGGAACGCTGGTTCGGGAGGCAGTGGGTCTATTCTTGTTTCTCATAATTTGACCCAGGAACCCATACGGGTAGATTGCAGGGATAAATATTTAACACTGCATGGGTGATCTAAAATCAAGGATTACATTCTGCCATCATTCAGACCCCAGCAATGTCTCTAGCAGGGGACACATTTCTACGATGACCGCGAAGAGGTGTATATAGGTCTTGACCAGTGTAGCGTGACTCCGGTCCTGCAGTATGACCCTGGTCCTGCAGTATGACGCTGGTCCTGCAGTATGACGCTGGTCCTGCATTATGACCCTGGTCCTGCAGTATGACGCTGGTCCTGCAGTATGACCCTGGTCCTCCAGTATGACTACGGC